CGCTTTCGTCCTCACCACTTCCTTCTGCGAGAGACGAGCATAAATTTCTCCCTCTTTGCGAGAGTAAATTGGGAACGGGGCACCATATTGGTCCGAAAGGTCATCCCGTTCACCAACCGGAGGTGCATCTCGGGAAGAGGATTCGCCCGCTTTCCGATTTTTAGCCGGCTCTTGGGTGGTCTTCTTCTTAGTGGGGCGTATCGGAGTCTTGCCCATTTCAAAAAGAAGTCGAAGTGTCTTGCGGGCAATATATCAAACACCTTGTGTGCCAAGGTTTGTGTGCAAGCTTAGGAGAGGTAGACAATGAAAAAAAACCACGAGTGCCCTTCTTCAATTGATATTTCGCAACAATCACACCAACAATTCAATTGCTTCAAATTAAGAGCAGAAATCACGATTACCGGAAGTCATGAGCTTAAAGACGATAGTGATTGTGAGGAGAAGCGCGAAGAAGATGGACTGAGTTGCTACCGTCGATGGTTCCGCTGACGGCTGGAGAGGGAGACGGTGAGGACGACTAACCCGAGAAAAAACGGTTCCGGTGGTGAGCTCGGAACTGAAAGAATGAACTAGGGTTCCCGAGTTAAAGCTCTCGTATTCTTAACACACCTTCTCGTGAAGATTTCGGGAGGAGACAATCGATTTCGTGAGGATGAATGTTAGATGTCACAAAATCGTGAGTATGAAAACAAGGGTCGATGGTAGGATGGAAGAATTCGCCGGTGATAGAGTTTTAAGATGGTGAAAATGCCCAAAATCTGTTCCAAGGGTGTGTTTAAATCGTGTTGTCCGCGGGCTGCGACTTACTGGGGGGTCGCGAGTTTTTTCTGTTGGGTTCGCCTGTACCGTACGAGCTATACGCAGCGGAACTTAATTTTTTTTTTTTATAACATGTATTTAACAATTAAATACATAACTCGTACATACATATGGCGAATTAACAGATCGTCATCTTTAAAAACATGTAATGATGCAAATTTTGATTTGTTTGATAGTAAATACAATATTTACCGTTAATCTTGAACTCCTTCAAAATCGTAGATGGATTGAGGAAATCGGTTTCCGGATTGGTAACGTCACTTCACTTCTTGTGCTTGTGGTTACTCGCTTTAGGAATCCACGTGTCTTCCCTCTAAACGTATCCACCTTTCGAAATCGGGTTCCGATGATAGCTTCTTCGCTAGGAGAAACTTCTCGGTTTTTCAATAGTATAGAATATATATATATTTTATAAGGAAATATTTCAAGAACTTTTCTTGATATTACACTCAACTCTTTGAATGTGTTTCTCTCTTGGAAGAACTTTGGAAAAATGACTTAGCAAATTTTATGTAAACTCTTTACACATATTTATACTAAACTTTTTAGTATAAAATAATCAATATTTAGTAATATTTAAATAAAATCAGATTTTATTTAAATATGATTTACTAACTATTGACTTTTATATAATAAACAATGTGGAGTGGTTCTCAACCTCTCTTAACCACCATTTATTGTAATCCTTAATTATTTTAATCTTTAATTATATTAAAGATAAAATAATAAAACATTAAAATAATAATTCTTGAAAACATTTTTCAAGACTTTATTATTTTAATCATTTCTT